TATGTAAAAGTGAGGCTCCTCGTGGCTATTCCATTCCGGGTCTGGGTTCTCTAGCACCAGGCAGACACAGAGCTTAAAAGAAACATGAATGAATGGGTAAATCCTTGGGAACTATTTTATGAACAGACTGGATCCTAAAGTAATTCACCAAGACTTGAATGACCTTTCGGCACATCTCTTGGAGACTGATCAGAAACACTCCGGAATCGGAGCCCGACAGAGGTCTGCTGGCTGGGAGAGGCACCACCCCACACTTGAGCCAAGACTGGGCGCCTGGGGAGTATAGAAGTTGGTGGCAGGCACCCCTCTGGGAGTTGAGGATTCAGGCCCAAAACATCTGGGAGGAGAAAGTTCCCCAGCCTGAGCATTATAGGTTCAGTGTTAATTGATGAACCTGAGGAAGGGACAAAGACTAGAGGGTTTCACTTTCAAAACAGTTATAGAATGAAGTTATAGACCCATGCGCAGGAAGGGGAATCTCCAGGGAAACGTAAGGAGAAACTGAAGCCACTGAAAATTCATGGAGGTCTTGCCAAAATTCCATTTTCATCATTTAATTCAACCCCAGGCTAATTCAATTGCAGAGAATGACTTGTGCAGACTCAACTCATGATAGACTGAGATATCTAACTCAGAGTAGCATTTTGCTGAATTTGAAATGAGAATTAGACCAATCTGCCTGACTAACTGGCTTCACGACAATTTCTCTTTGTAAATAATCTCCACAGGAAGCTAAAAGATCACAAGGTTCTACAGAGTATGGTTCTACAGAGAACAAGACGTGAGTGATACAACTTAAACATGCTGTGGTGTCTGGCTCTGAGCACCCCAGAGGGTGTGAACAGGACCTCCCCTCTCCTGGGCTGTCATGGTTGCCCGACCTCTTGCTGAGGCCCTATTTTTCCTTTTACATAGTCAGGGCATTCCTCCAGGCAGGTTCCTGCAGACCCAGAACCCAGCCTCTCTTCCCAGTGACCGCCAACCTCCACTCTGATCCAACACGGGCTTATCTCCAGCTTCCATTCCCATTTGGCATCTTACTCCAAATTCTTAAGGAACGGCAGTGTCCTGTATACTCAATGTCTGTCGGACTCCAGTGGCACCAGGAGCTGGAGTTTGCCTGCCATGCACACACCTGCTTGTGAGCCCATTTGTGTGTGTTCACCTCCACCACGTGTCTCCCTAGAGTTACTGCCCCTCCTAGCTGTTACTGGAAGCCGTGTCTCTCTTCCACATGCCTAACTGCCACATCAGCTCAGGTTTCAGAGTCACCAGTCCATCAGTCTCCACACAGAAATACCATTCAGACACGAATCCGTGTCCTCTTGGGACACACATTGCTTCTACACCCACAGACACCTTTGCTCACTACTGGGTCCCTGCTGAGGCTGAGGGGACCCCCTAGCAGAACAGGAGAGGCAGACGTGAACGGATGGCCCTTTATTGTGATCACAGATCTGTGTGCACAGATAATACTTGTGGAAGCTCTGATGTGTGTCATCACATGACAGGTTTGGGGGTGGATTTTTTGGCCCGATGGTTTGGTTTTTTTTGAGTTGGAGTCTCATTCTGTTGCCCAGGCTGGAGTGCAGTGGCACACTCATGGTCACCACAGCCTTGACCTGCTGGGCACAGGCGATCCATCCACTTCAGCCTTCCAAGTAGCTGGAGCTACAGGCATGTGCCACCCCATCCAGCTAATTTCTTGATTCATCATAGAGACGAGGTCTTACCAGGTTGGCCAGGCTAGTCTTGAACCCGTTGGCTTAGGCAATGCTGTGGCCTCTGCCTCCCAAAGTGCTAGGATGACAGGCGTGAGCCACCATTGCCCAGTGCCCTATGGATTTTGATAACCCTCCCTTCTAATTCTGGCACCTGCCCCAAGAAACCAGTGGTACCTTAGACTCAAGTGTACTGCTATGTGAAAGAAGGAATTTACACACAGTCTAGTTCCTTATGCTTCTTTTCTTGAAAAAATAGAAATCACTGAAAACCTTTACAAAATATTCATAGGTTATGATCAAAGCTTTCCAAACTTAATTACAAATACAAGTGTAAGCAACCTGGAAGTGAATGCCAATACTAGAGTATAGACTAGTATTCTTCCCACACCAAGCCTCAGCAATTATTACACATCTTACCAGAGCCTTGGTGGTGGCTGTTGTTTTTCTTCTTTCAAATCGAACCCCTCCAGGGCTGACTAACTCAGCAAGGCTTTGAGCACCAGAGGCTGCAGGGGTGAGGGCCGGCCACTATAACCTGCCTTCCATCTCCCCCACCCCTCTCTTCGGTCAAAAATCTTTAATTAGCAGGTTACCATAATTACTCTAGCTAGGGAGTTTATTTGTTCTCCTTCCCTGCTCTTCCCAGGGATTGGAAGTCTCCACTGCTTCTATGCCAGAGGGACCTTTCGATCATAGCTTCTCTCTGCCTTTTTGTTTTTCCCTTTTATGACTGGAACAACAACAACAAAAAGCCTAGGGGAAAAAAAAATCATCTCTCTTTCTGTGTCTGGGTAAGACCCTACGACTATCGCTTTCCAATCAGGAACAAGTTTCCATGACAACCATGCTTCCCAATGCCACTGCTAACTTAGCAGGTAGTGTTCATACCAGAGTTCTTTACCAACCTCCGTGGTTTCGGTACTTCGCCATTGCCACAAGCACCAGCTGTCTGTAAGAACTGTATCTTAAAAAGGTTTTGCTCTTTTTCCTTCTAACATCAGAAAGACAAAAAGAAAATTTCCTCGGCATTTTCTTTGCAGTCATCGTTTGAAAGCACACCAATGTATTCAAAAAGTATGGCAGAAGAACAGACAGAGAAGAAAACGTGTGACTTGGTGGAGGGAAGCGGGAATAGATTCAGGGAGAGCAGCTGGCATCTGACGACAGCTGGGTGACTTGCACTGCGGTCAACGGCATGGACGCACGGACTGAGCTGACAGCTGAGGAAGCAGGGATTCCTGCCATGGGTGACCTCGGCTGAGTTACTTATCCTCTGTGACCCTCAACACCTGCTCTGTGAAATACAGGATCTGAGATGCCTCGTAGAACTGCTTAGAAAAAAGCAGACCTAAAGAGTGTTTATCGGCGTGTCTGGCACTGGGGAAGGGTTCATTCAACACATGGTGATTATCGTGTCATTAAGGCAAAGAGTCGAACTGAAAAGAGTCTGAGCAAACAAGCAATCACAATATCCTAATTGATTATTAACATCTTGCTGGCTGAACAGCACAAGTATAAGCAGTCGATATGTGGGGGCTTTCTTAGCAACCTTTTTCTCTTAGGCCATCAAGTCATGTCTGGAATTACAGGAAGGAATATATTCATTTCCATTCCTAAGACTTGAGAGGCTACACCTGGGCACTCTCCAGGCTTCATCTGAATCTCTCTATTTATAGTTCTGCATAAGCATTTGTTTAATTTTGAAACAAGCAAAAAAAAAAAAAAATAGGTTAACTGTTAAAGTACTTGTTCAATATTTCACTTCCTCAATACCAATCAGAATATTTCAATGCTTCTCTAGAGGCAAGAATAACAAAAATATGCATATTTTAATAATATTTTCATTGTTGAGCAGCTCCAACTTCATTTCAAAATCAGAATTCATATCGCAGTAAACAAATCAACATGCTCATTATCCAACAAGCTCCCACACTCCAAGTCCCCCACTCCAGCATTCACAGTGCCCTCGGAGAGCTGAGCACATCCTCCACAAATAACACCAGTTCAAACCTTTGTTTTTAAAAGATAAAAAACTGTTTACATGTTTTTGCATCCCGTTTCTGTCAATATGGTGGACTTTGGGTCTAGATAAACCCTTCCTATTAAGACCCCTTAAGGGGGCGAACAAAACAATATTTTTGAAACATGTTTTGAATTGGGCTGGCAGGAAAGTAAAGGAAATCCTGTAGGGCCAGAAACAAATCCAGGCAGGTACTCTGGTACTTGAACTAGAACTTACCATGGGGGCATCTGCCTATCTTGTTAGCCTAGAGCAGAGGTCAGCAGATTTTTTACCTGTAAGGGCCAGATAGTAAAAGTTTTAGACTTTGCAGACCATACGGTCAGTTCTAACCAGTCGATTCTGCCACTGTGGCCTGAAAGCACACATAGATAATATGTTTGTAAAAAAAATAATAAATAATAATAATAGGTATGACTGTGTTTGAACAAAATTTACTTATATAGCAGGCAACAAGTGGGATTTGGCCTATGAACCATAGTTTACTAATCCCTGCATTGTACATTGGCTTTTAGTGATTTTCCCTCCAGAAAACACATCTGGTACATTACCTGTCTGACTCGTGGCAGATCATTGTGGTGCTGGTCCTGATTTCTTCCTACCTTCCCAGATCCCTAAGTCCCCTTGCCTTTGGGGAATTCATCCTACGTTGACTCTGGGCTGGACCACGTGACTTGCTTTGGCCAATGGGGTAACAGTAAACATGACACAAACAGAGAATGTGGTTTGTCCCCTCTTGCTGCTCCTGGGATTTCTGTATCCACCATCACATGAATTAGCGCAGGCCGGCATGCTGAAGACATATGGCCCATCATTCCCATGACCTCAGTGACAATAAGCACTGACTAACTGGTTGGCTCCAATTGCCCCACATATGAGTGAAGCCAGCCTAGGCCCTCTAGCCCCCAGGCAACCCAACGGCTCACCTTGGCCACATGAGGGAGTCCAGGTGTGATGAGCAGAACCACCAAGCTGAGCCCAGCTTAAATTGTTGATTACCAGAATCGTAAACTAATAAAGTGTTGTTTTAAGTCACTAAGGTTTAGGGTAGTTGCTCTACGCAAAAGCTGTAAAATGATACACTCCACAGGAAGTTTATTATCTTCTAAAAAGACCAAGAGGCCAAAAAGTATATATATGATAAAGACTGAAGAAACATTAATAAACTGTACTTCCACTTTAAAAAGCCTGTCACCCAACAGCAGAAACGAGCCTTCTTTGTTTCTCCTCTGAGATGGCAGAGCACATTCTCCTACCTGAGCAGACTTCTTTATAGGTAGGGTTAGGCGTGTAGCCTCCTGCAAAACCAACTTGAGTTGAACACACTCCTCTCAAGACCCAGAATTTCCTTTCAGCGCCCCAGAAACATCCCATTCCTATTAAAATTAAAAAAAAGATACTGTTAATCAATTATCCAAAACAAAGAGGTCATTACACATTACAGTACCTGTTAGACTAGAAAAGAGAAGCTTCTCCTGTCATGTGGGAATCAAAAATAACTGAGAGTTTATCTTGTAATGAAGAAGAGTTCTCAAAGTGAGGCCCAAACTTTACCTGTACAATGACCAATGGTATATCTAACCCTGAATTGTGCTCCACATCTTTAAAATAAAAATTAAGAAAAAAGGAGAGTTCTTAACATTGATAAATAATTTTATATAAGATGTTTTGCATAGAATGTCTGTTTGCGCTAGCTGTGAAAAACCTAAGAAAATCTTTTTATTTACCTTTAAATTTTTTATTTTAAAATTGTGGGGTACAATTCAGGGTTAGGTATACAAATATTCACTGTGCAGGTACACTTGTGGATGAGGTGTGACCCCGTTCCCCAGGCAGTTTCCCACTACTGCCAATCCCACCTCCCCAACACCCCACACCCCTGCAGTTTCTGCTACTGTCAATCCTTTTCTTATAGTATTACAATAGTTGTTCACTCAGTTCTTTGTTTCTGTGACAGATCACTCAGTATCATAGACTCTAAGTCCATCCAGGTTGCTGCAAAGTTCATGATTTTGTTCTTCTTTATGGCTGCATAATATTCCATTGCATATACGTGCCACATTTTTTTTAATCCAGTCATCTTTTGATGGGTAGCATGGTTGGCTCCATGCTCTTGCTATTGTGAACAATGCTGCAATAAACGTACATGTGCAGGTATCTTTTTTATAGAGTGATTTGAGTTCTTCCGGGTATATTCCCAGTAGGGGGATTGTGGGGTCATTTGGAAGGTCAATTTTTAGAACATTTAGGAATCATCACACTGTTTTCCACAGAGGCCATACTAGTTGATCCTCCCACCAACAGTGCAGAAGTGTTCCTTTTCACCACATCCTCTCTAGCAACTGTTATTTTTTGAGTTATTGATGATGGCCATTCTGACTGGAGTTAGGTGGTATCTCAGTATAGTAGAAAATCTTAAATTTAATGGAATTAGTAAATTTACATGTTTTCAAATGACACAGTAAAAGGATAATTATTTTATGAATAATTTCTACACTCAATTCATAACTCAATAGAAGTTTAATAATGATCGGCTTCCTGGTCATGCTTCTTATGAAATATATTTTAAGAAAGAAGGGTAGCATTAAATGATGAATTTTAATGGGAAAATTTCTAGAATCAACATAGATTGATATACTACTTCCAATTAACAATTTCACATGTGTTCAGTTTTTAAATTTTTTTTAAAAAATCAACATAAATTTGCATGTGATCAATCACAGCTCACCTAGCTTTTCTGAGTTCTATTTCTGAATATAATGAATGAGGGGGTGTAGAAGGGATGCAGAGGAGGGAACAGTGACAACAAGAAAACGAAGTCAGAAAACAGCATTCCATTCAACCAGCGAGCGTTGTGTTTATACCAGTAGTTACTGGGTCCCTTTGAACATCTGAGGAAAATCATGGCCCGTCTCCCCAGAAGAATGCACATAATCACATCGGAAATATTGTCTTGCACTTCCTTAAACTCCAGCTAAAGAGCCCCCACTTTCTACCATAAGTTTCTACATTGCCAGGCACAACTGCTAGTCTATGACCTATTTGTATACATAAGCAAGATTATTTGCCTCACTCAAGTGTGTGTTGGCTTTATAACGTCACCTATGACTGAAGTCTTGGGTAGGACACTTGGCAAATTAATAAGTGCCTGTGACTCCTACAGTCACTAGGTTTGCTAGATTTGATGACAGAGCCGAACAAAAAATTAGAAGTTTACTGAAATTCTTGATACTCTACTTTAAAAACTCAAAACAACAACAAAACCCAAAAAGCAATGTGCAAAAAGTTATACATTACACAAAAACATTCTGTTTGCTAAAATGTGTGAGGAAACTTACTAACTGAAAATAGGTTAACAGTTTAAAAATATGCTAGAACCAAACAATAAAATTCAATGCAGTTAAAAAAAAAAGTACTGTTATGATAATGCTGCAACATGGAAATATATATATGATTATATCGTAATTATCTAAGGCTAAATTAAAAGGGAGAAACATAATTATATGCATGTTTTTATTATAATGATAAAAAATTCACACCAAAATAGACTGGAAGGAAATATGCTAAAGTTTTAGCCATGACTGTATTACAGTGATGACAATTTTAAATTATTTTTTCATTTTCAAATTTTTCTGTAATAGATTCCTATTACTTTAAAAATGAAAAATGCATATATTTTTAAAGAAAAGCAAAAACTTCAAGAAAATAACATAAGCATATGCATTATTTGAGTCATACCCCGCTATACCACTTTTCCTGTTTACAAGTGAATTGCTTGCTGCTACTGGTTATAAATAAATATTCACTGAGTATCTATAAAATGTAAGTACCCCTGGGTCTCTGGCAAAAGGATTCACGATTAATTTTACTTCGCTGCATTCCCCAGGATGAGGGAGCGATGACAGGAAATCTTTGCAGAAGCGCAGGCAAACGGTGAGCCAGACAGCTTTCCTGGGCATTGCATGGCCGCAAGGCCACCAGATGCCGTGCTGTGGGACAGACTGAAGGCAGGCCACTCCTGAGGCTCAGAAGTCCTCGGGACTCATGGAGTATGTTGAATTTATCGTGTCGCACAATGACTAACAGTGACAGTACCCAAGAGCACCACCACCTCTCAACATTCCACGCACAAGGCTCGTGCCAGGCCATTTTAGCAGCCAGCCTGTCCTGATCTTTGTCTACAGTCTCATGCCAGAGGCCCCAGATTTCAAAACTTAAAATATTCTTGGCCAAACCGAGCAAAACATTGGCTGGAAGTGGAGAGACATTTCATCCTCTTTTGATGTTTAATAGGGATCAAGAAATAACGCCAGTGAGAGGAGGATGGGCAAAGGCCTGGCATGCCATGTGTGGCCGTAACGATGCCTCAGGGCCTGGGGTTTGATCATTGTCCACATCTCTGGAGAGGAACTTGACTTAGGATGGAGGCTGTTAGGAGGATAAAACCCCTCCACAAAGCAACATTTCACCTAGGGGCTGCTCGTATTCTATTCTAACCTAAGCATTCTAGTATTTGGTTTTGAGTATGTGTTTTGAGTATTGTTTAAACAAAGAAAACAGGCTTACTTGTGTCAGAATGACTCATACATTTCCATAGTCTGGTAATCAACACGAATATCGGCAAATAAAATATGGTATGCACAATTTTCTTTAAAGTATTTTATACGTTTAGCCTTTGTTATAAAATGAAGCACAGACACCACCAGGTCAAGACATAGAAACTTTCCGCTCATCCCAGAAGGCCCTCCGTGCATCACACTCCAATCCCAGCAGACTCCTTCCCTGCAAAAGAATCACTGTCTGATCTTTATAGTAATCACTTCCTGTGCTTCTCATGCCATTCAAGTGTCCATGACATTAATACACGACATCATTATGTCTTGTGCATTTTTTTCAAACTTGATATGTCTTCAAGTTATTTTAATCAACAAGCCCCCTCTCCATTTATTTTCCTTCGAATGTATTCATTGAAGAACATGGGCTAGTTGACCTGCACAGCTTCCCACAGTATGGATTTGGGGAATTGCATTCTTATGGTGCAGTTCCACTTGTTCCTCTGTCCTTGAAGGAAAACTTCCTGACAGCTGGATTCAGAAGCTTGATCAGACTCAGACTTGATCCTTTGGCAAAACTAGAGGTGATGGAGCTATGTTACTTGATTAGGAAGCACATAACGCCTAATTGTTTCCTTTCTGTCATCCACGGATGCTCAATGCTTACATGTGCTAATTCCTCAAGCATCCCAAAATGGTGATCTTCTAATTCTATCACTTTGTCTTCACATCTTATAATGAAAAGCTTCCCCTCAGCGACTACTTTGTTACTCAGGGGTACAATTCATAAAGGAAAAGGAAGAGAAATGCTTGCTTATGTCCGTTTACATAGCATCTTCAAGATAATGAACATGCCCTCTCCAAGGATGACCGGTTAGCTTTTAAAATATCGTTATAAACTTATTCACATAAACATATTTGTTAGCTTGAATTAATGCTCTTGTGTAAGCTCCCGTGATCATATATTTGGCCAGTAAGAACTTTTTCAAATTGGTTTCTGAGTTCCTTTGGAATGTCCTCAGACATCTCTGATAGCTGCCTTGCTCTCTGGTTTGACAAGATGCCCCAGCCTCATCTTGTACATTTGCTACCCCAGAGCCAAAATTAACTATTTCTCCAAGAAGCCTGATTTCATTAAATGGGAAAAGGCATTTCAAGACCATGACCTGAGCACTGGTGATGCTCACTGCAGAGTGCTCAACCATAGGTCCCCAAGGGACCATGGTGCTGAAATTTTCCTAAGTCCTGTCAGACCCACCAAATCATAAGGTCAAGTGGGTGCAACTACCACCCATCATTAAAAAAAAAATTGTACATCCGGAATCATACACAAGCAAGTAAAGGAAAAACCCCACGACCGGTTCCTTCGGGCAACATACCCATTGTCCACTTCGTATGGAAATAGCCCAAGTTTAGGACATATGCAGACTCAAGGACAGTTAGCAAGTGGCTCGGTTGGCAAGTCACGGGACAGAAATAAAAAAGACTGGAAGATCAGGAACAAGGATATCTGAGGGAGAGGCACATAGTGGAAGCGAGTATGCATGTGAAGGTCTTTGTACCACACATTAATGCTGGCCAGAGGGCATCGGCCATGGAAGAGGCACTAATCAACAAAGGAAAGAAAATGCCCTGGCTGATGTCTATCAGCCAGCCTCTTTCATTGGCTGCCCAGTACTGGCATGATGAACTCAGGAACAAAGAGGCCACAGGAGCAGAGACAGAGGTTACTCATGGGCCCAACACCTGGGCTTCCACTCATCAAGGTTCACCTAGCTACTCCCACTACCAAACGTCCAATCTGCCAGCAGCAGAGACTATCA